TCTAAGCTTAAAAATACAACGTTATTTTCTGGTTTATTGGGTAAACGAGTTCTTCAGCTTGAGACCCACCAGATGTATGCGATGAATAGATATGATATTTAAGATAATCTATCTTCAGGAAAAAAATACATCGTATCATCAGATACACAAAAAATACCCATAATTACAAATCAAATAACTTCTCAGCTTTACGTCAAAGTTAAAATATTTCTAAGCTTTATAACACTTTAATATATATTCCTACAACTTAATAGAGTAAAAAAAAATTACTTTTATGTTTCTTGTGTAATTTTACATGGTATTGAATTATGATAGCTGATTTGTAAGTTCGTTAGTTTGCTATAAACTGAACCACAATACAGAAATACTAAATTTCTTAAAGATTCCCGTACACCTATTCCATTACAAAATAAAAAACATTTTTCTTTAGGAAAACATGTTTTGATGTTTCTATTATTCTTGATGTAACGGCAGATATGTTGCTTATATTTTCAATTGAGTTTTTTACCCACTAAAATCTATTTTTAATACGAGGCACGTACTTGATTTTTGTAGGCTTCAAAAAAATGTATTAAAAAAAAAATTACATGGTTACATTAGTAAATATATGTAAGTTATTTCATCTCTCGATGCAGGTGATGAAGATGGGATTATTTTTTTAATGCCTACCTTGTAGAACTCTTACCTCCTTCGTCCACTTGTCGACCACCCCCCCCCCCTCACCTCCTCGTCCGTTGCAAATTTTTACCACCCATGTGCATCTTTAGGGAAGTGACCAGATGGTAATTTGAAGGCGCCAGGTTGGTGGAATACGGAAGGTGGTACAAAACATCCCATCCAAAGAAGTCCAACAGTTGCTTTTGACGTTGGCCGTGTGGGGTCGAGCGTTGTCGTGCAGCAGGCAGACTTCCTTTGTCAGACCCCTCCTTTTATTCTGAATAGCCCTTCTCTATTTTTTTAGGGTCTCATAATACCTTGCTGCGTTGATGGTCCCCCCTTGAGGCAAATATTCTATCAAAATTATGCCTTCGTGGTCCCAAAACACTGATGCCATGATTTTTTAGGCTGAAATGGTGGTTTTGAACTTTTTGGCTGAGGGTGAATTGGTGTGACGCCACTGTTCAGACTGTCTCTTGGTTTAAGGCGTTTAGTGTGCCACCCAAGTTTCATCTCCAGTAACAATACACTTGAAAAAATCACACCCTCCAGTTCATAGCATTCCAAAAACTCTTTGGAGGTCTGCACTCGATTTCGCGAGGATTTCGCACTTGGCGGCAGACTCGATCGACATGTTTCGCGAGAAAAATTCCTGTGATCACAGTTTTCAACGTACTGAACTCGTTCTGGTCTTTTTTTGAAGAAGAGGATAGCAAAAAAATATTCTCTACGGCCGTGAGAGCCTCAGTACACTTACTTTCTGGACGTGCCTCGTATATATTGCATACAGTACAAATCATAATAGTCACATAAACTTAAGCAAAGTTGTATTTCCATTAATTCCGCCATAGTTTCGCATTAATTATACCTTTCACTTCGTTATTTTTAACTGTATATAGTTAATTATGGAGTATGTATGGCCCTTACGGCCATAAATACCCCATAATTATATACCACGGACCACCCTTCAATTATAAAATCCTGTTGTGTGACAGTATCTATAGTCACATAAGTGGCTTTATAAGAGTCAGTATAACACCTAAAATCTTAATTAACATAGGATTATATTTGTATTTGCATGTTTCACAATTTTACTAAATAAATTTTAAAAAAAATTACATTATATATATTTTATTAGAACGATTTTAATCTAGGAACTTATTACATACGAATAAATCATATTTGTATTTTACCACTTCAACTACCATATGGTAATTTTAACGATTGGTCGTTTTTTTAATGATAACTAAGTTAATGCGTTAGAACGGTTAGGTAAATATATTTGTATCAAATGTTAATTGAAACAGGAACAGCTATTTAAAGAATAAAATCAGTATTAAGATTGCTAAAAACATTATTTAGCATTTTTATTTTTGTAGGTTTTTTTCATATGAAGTGAGTTCTATTAAGTTAAACATTTTTTAAGCTTTAATTATAAAATTTCTTATATATTGTGTCCTTTTTCATTGTTTCGACGAAGCCTAACAATAACATGCCTAATTTATTTATATTTTTCATATATTTTAGCTTCGATGTGGAGCTAAAAAGGTATTGTAATGTAACGTAATACACTTATTTGTTTAAAACTATCGTTACATTATGTAAAATAATAATGTTTTAAATTGTAGATCTTCAATAAATTAAAATTAATAAATAAAATAATTATAATTAAATAAAAAAACACATTTTAATAATTATATTTCGTTTATAACTATTAAATGTAATCTGCATGAAATATTGATTGACAATACTACATTAGTTTCAATCTATTTCTAATTCAAAGTGAATCTACTTCAATACCATTCTTTATAGCACAGTTTATCGCTATCGACGCCTTTATACTTGTATTATTGTATTAAGTTTATTTAATAATTACATTATAAATTAACATACATTCCAAATTGATATCCAATAAAAAAGTTAAATATATCAACTCAAAAAAGACTTGGAAACTTGGAGTTCTCCGATCAAAGATCAAGATTTTAAATGCTTTCATTTCGAAGTAGTTGTTGTTTGACAAAACAATTTCTTACTAATAAAGAATTTTTTTAGTATACTTAACTAATGTAAAATATAGGTGTAATGTGGTTTTAGCTAAAATCTTAAATTATCTAAATTAAACACTAATAAATAGAATATGACGTGGCGTCGTCTTAAACATTATTTAAAGGAATATAATAAAAACTATTTTGCATTATTAGATAATATAGTACCTATGTAAGTCAACTTAGCAGGCACATTGAATACTTTTTGGCGATTTATGAATTTTTAAAGGTTGTTAAGTGTTCTTGAAGGTCATCGACTTACGACCATTAATTATAAAATCCAATGTCAGATGAAACAGATATTTCTTATATTACTTATGTCTTATAGTGTAAGTAAGATCGTGTTACCAAGTCAAACAAATGTATTCTCCAATCATAATTTTCTTTTACTTATAAGGTAGTCAAAATCATCTTTGAAATTATTGAAATCTGGGTTTCAGAAAATTAAGTATGGGGTTGTTTTTATTTTGTGATTAAAAGGTAATTTGATATTTGCACATTTTGTAAAAAAGTTTGCGCCAACTTATGACCATAATTAAAAATTGAAACGTTATTTATAACCATAAATCAAGTTCGAACTGTTTAGTACAAATATATTTTATTAATTCCTAAACATATATGTAGTGGGTTTATTTTTTTGCTATTGTTAACTAATACGATTTATTGGTATACGCATTAAACAAGTTTTTTTAGGTTCTGGTTCTGACGCACATTAATGTAGAAATAATATTTAAATGTAATACTTCTACAAACAGCAAATAATTTTTTTATGAGAATAGTAGGTACATACAGTAGAAATACGAATATTTGCGAATTGAATAGTCAGTATTTAAAAATTGCTAATATTAGGAAAATAATTAAATATTTATGACGGTTATATTTTAAAAATTATAAGCTGTTTCAATAAATGATTTAAATTAAATGAGCTACTAAAACAATGTTTAAAAGAATTAGCTGCCGCGTGACCATAAGTATCTAAATTTGTTTGTGATAATGTGAGAAAAATGACCTTTTTTAGTTGTTTAATTAAAAAATATGAAAAATAGGTAAAATGTGTTGCCTACAACAGAGTGTAGTCTTGAAATATGCTAAATAGACAAATAGTTATTAGTACAAAGTCTAAAACATTTTTCAAAACAAACAATTATTTGTTTTTGAAAAAGGCAATTTTAATGCTCAAATAAATAAACATGAGACTATAATACACATATGTATAATATGGATATTTAGTAATAATTATTGGTGGACCCTAAAAATGTTTGGGCTCTGGGGAAGCGTTCCCTCTAAATTTGAGCCTGACTATATAGCTTCATGAAGGATTCAGACTAATGGTTAAAACATTTTCGTGGGTCCTCACAAATTTGTTTAAAAAAAACATTTACTTTTTAAATCAATACTTTCCAAACTCCGTATCTAACAATAAGTAGAGTAAATATTGTCTCCTTAAGTTTCAAAACACTTTAAAAAAAAAAAATCGGACCTTTTTTTTTTGTGTAAAAATTTTACATCCGCAGACCATTCTGCTTTCTATGTTGTATTTAGAATACAGCATAGAAAGCAGAATACAAAAATTATGTTTGAAATAAAGCCTAAAAAATAATTCAAACATACAGAACACCCTATAGAATAATTCAAAGCTGCATGTAAAAAAATTAACAGTTAACAGCTAGATATGCTAGAGAAAATCTGAGTCCAGATTAGGGATTCAGCGAAAAATAAATGTGTTTTAATTTTTGGTGCTTGTTCCCAAAAAAGTAAATTTTAGTTGTACAATGCTTGTTTATTATTATTACTTGTTAGATTAGTTTAGTCTCTTTTTTTTGGTATATAAATATATAATTAAATATTTTATTGATGTGGGACTAGAAGCTCAAATTTTAACGTGCCTTATGAAAAAACAATTTTTGGGGTCGACAAATCAAAAAGCGATTGTTAAAGTAAAACTAGCGATTATACATATATTATATAATATATAGGGCATGTGGTCATACTATAGGCGATTGATAATCATTATAGCAATTTGTTATAATATTCTATGGAAAATCGAAGTAGGCATTTGCAGTCTTCCGAGAACTACAAGTCATGTGTATATAGTTCGGCTGGCAACGAGCCTACACGGTACGAAAATAAATCCTAAACGATATTTTCTTTAGATCTCTATATACGACTGTCATCTATACAGATGTGACCCCTGGTCTGTCTGCCGAGTTAAAACGTGTACATACGACGTTTTTGTTTAAAAAATTCAACTACATAAAATTGAATAATATATCAGATAAGACTTGTTATGTTTTTTACCTCGATTGTGGTCTTGAGTAGGGTCGCTGTACTTGTCGTCTTCAGCATGGTGTGGTTTAAATGAAAAAACAAGGCAAATCGTTAATGCTTTTTACAAGACAACAGTGGCTAATTTTCACTCGGCACGACCTACACGGTAAAAGCTATGTGAGGCAAAGGGAAAGTGATTATGATTGAAACGGCTGATGTCGTCCAACTGCTAAGTATAATAACGCACTACTTATACTAGGGGCTTTTGGCCGTCAACATAGTACGGATGAATCAATGTTAAGGCAGGTCCTCGTGCTAATAGTGACCGACGGCCGATAGATGTCGCATACGAGTGTGTGGTGAAAAACTCTATAAACCTTTGTACTATGTTTTCGAAAAAAAAAACTGACGATCCTATACTGGGAACTATAGTAATAATAACGATGAGTATAGGTATCAACAGTGGGACATCGAATGGATTTTTACGAAAACAGGATCAAGTGGTAAAAGGTACGAATGTCGACCACCGTCCACCACCCCCCTTGTACCATAATGTTAGAAAACGGTGCCAGATAAAGTCTTCTAAAAAATTAAAAAATAATCAACGACTATCGTCCTTAATAATACGTTTTTCAGTTCTTCCTATATTGTTTTATTTATTTCATAATTCATTTCAATAATAATAATCAAACTTAATATAGTTAGAGAGCTTTTTTAAGAGCTTAACAATCAAAACTTCCAAACCCCTCTCAATATTTATACATATTTTTTATTCAATTTATATCGGCTGTATACATATATATTTTGTTATTTTATTATGCTTGTTATCTCGACAACAACAGTTCTTCAATAACTAAATAAATTATTAATGAAAGAGTATATTTATTTAAAATGTGTATATTATATAATTTTCACAAAACCGATTATTCTAGGAGCATAAAATACTTATTAATACTCAATTCAAATAAAATTTGTAGACATGCAACTTTATTTATTAATAGTTATTTAATTTTTTTAAGACTTAAAGTTATTAGAATATTTATGTTTTTTTTTTATAAATCTGAATTTTGAAAAATTCCATAAGCCAAGAAAAGAAAAGCGATACTTATATTTTTCAATGCATAAATTGATTTAGGTAATATACATCGTTCAAATATTTATCAGGTAACGAAAAATATAATAGAAATATTCTAAAAACTCAGGGGCGCAATTTTGCTAAGAAAAAAGAGGTGTTGTTCGAACCCTAATTATAATATTATTAAGCCACTTCTTAAGGTATGGGACGTGATTAGTCTGGACTTTAGAGGACTAGATAAGCACACATATCCCCCTTTTCCCATTTAAATGGCATCCATGATTCCTAATAACTGTAATTTTTAAAAATCGTAGACTTGGAAGTTTACGTATGATCTTATAACAACTAAAATATCCATGCGTTTAAGCTCTAAAATTGGCCCATATATACACTAATGTCTAATAGTTGATAAATCTCTAAATAGGCACATAAAACATTTAATTTAATTTTTAGATTGACTAATAATTGTGAGCACAGTTTTATAAACAAAAAAATTAAAAATTAAATAACTGTCAACTATTTTTTATCTGATAATACTAATTTTTACGATATAATATAATAATTTCCTTATTAAAAAAAAAAATCTCTTATATTGTCATTATTTTATAGGTAGATTTAGATGAACACAATTAAAAAATATATAAAATATACAACAATAATTATCGAAAATAATAAAATAGATGATATTCTAAAATATGCAAACATATTATTGCCAATAATGTCAGGTATAAAGCCATCGTTACAACTTTAGTGTGTTCAATGATATTATATTTCTAGCGGCTTTCGTAAATCATTTCATACTATAGAAAGTTTGATACCTCAACAAATTTACTTAGTTATGAATTTAGGGCTTGCATGTTAAAATCATACATTTTGAACAAGTTTTTAGCAGGTATAAAAATAATCTTGCCAGCTTCGGATCTAAACTAAAAAAATTATATTAATAATAAATGATTGTTTACCGATTGTGCCTACATTGCATTTGGCAGCGGATTCAACAAATTTCAGGGTGCTTGTGACAAAGACGGTTTTTTAGTATTAGTATAATATATCTATGATATTAGTTTAAAAGAAATATGATAACGACCAACACCGAAAATATGACCTACTCTACGGTCGGTGTAAAAAGTGTACACTTTTTGTCAAAACGAATAATCCTAGTAATCAATGGTGTTTTTATCACCTGGTCAGTTATCAGCTACACGTATTATCAAAATTGTCACAACTATGTTATCATTTGTGATATTAATTATTATATTATCGTTCAAAACCATATAAACCTATTAAGAAATATTTCTTTATAGCCTATAGGTCTATGTTCAAAACGTAAAATGAATCGTAAACTTGTGATTTTTAAAAGTGTTATTAGTTAATTGTTATATGTTATTTAACATTTAAGGCACATCGTAATCAGCATTAATTAAGGAGAGATGTCTGGAATTTATTTTAATCACAAGTGGACAGGGAGTGTGTATTGTGTGAAAAGTTTAAATGCGACAGCGTTACATTTAAACTTTTCACGTTGTTGCATAAATGTTCACTAAACGTTTAATAAACCAATAGATGTTAAAGGGTTCTTTAAACATAATTTAGTGGTCCATTAAATTTTAATGAACCATTAAATGTATTAATTGTTTATGAAACATCAATAGAGTATCAATAACTTTTGAAACAACTCGTTTTGTATTAATTGAGCTGTACAATAATACATGTGCAATAATTTGTACCCGCGTGTACAACTCGGCTAGAAATGGTAATACAATGATTGTTTGACAATGTTTTGTAACGTGCAAGTCTATTTCAGTTGTAAAAAAAATATTTTATGTCCCTTTTATAGAATATAGGTATTTATTTATCCCAACGTACAAGAAATTAATTAATGCACAGTTACACAATTATTTTGAACTGCAATAGCAAATTTTAAAGTATTAAAAATAATGATGACTTTAGTCATGAAAAATAATATTTAAAAGAAATGTTAGGTACTTTGCAATGTATAAAATACATTACAAAGTTAAGGGTTAATTATTTCAATATTGCCTCACATAATGAAACAAATTTTTGGAAATTACTTTTTTATAAATTTAATGATAAAATGTATGTGTGCCTAGTGCACTGTCATACATAAAATGGGACGTTGTGGGTGTCTGAGGATTGGTTATACAAGTATATTTAAAAACCACTTGAGTTAATGATTAAGTGTTGTATTTAAATTAAATGTCTAGTATGACTATTTTGTACATTGGCCTCTTTTATGTCACTAATTAAGACAATAATAAAAAAATTTGTTTATTGGGTAAAAAATTCTTTTGTGGAGGTTCCTTGATAAAAGTTACTTAGCTTTTTGTAAATTAATATATTTATACTAATTAATTGTATTATTCTTAATGTTTAGCGTTCAAAATATCCATTTTTGTTGAAAAATGGCAGGAAACTTTTTTAAAGGCCTTTCCAGTTACATTGGATTTTATGATAATACCATTTTGGAGCATGAAGTACGTGAATATATGTCTCAGACGATATCTAACAAATATAATGGTAAATTTTTCATTAGTTTTATATTTATAAAAATTATGTTAATAAAAATGAATTAATTAACAATACACTTTTTGACTAGCTCGAGTGCCTGCATTGTGGAAACGTATGGCAGCCCAACTCATTGATTTCGTCTTCATGTGTATTTTAAAACATCTGCCTATTTTATGCATTAACAGGTATAATTTATTTATATTATATGTTTAATGCTGGGGCTTGTCTTCAAGGCTTGTATTATATGTTGCATATCAATCCAGTTGTAAAAATTACAGTATAATCACACTGGAAGGGGTTAATCATTTTGTGTGTTATAAATCCTCATTATTCTCATTATACTCCTCAGCATTACATTAAAGCGTATTATAATTTTTTTCATACTTAAAATGTTAACATCAATTACAAAAATTTGATAGTTTAGAACTATTAACTATTACTTTTCATACATTTTTGAAACACTGTCTATCCTTAATTTTAGTAAAATATATTTAGTATAAAATAAAATTCTAAAAGGCCCACACACTTATTTTTAAAAAAATGTATACTATTATGTAATTTGATAACTATGTATGGAGTATGCCTAATTAGAATAAAAGGTTTTTAACTATGTTATTCAAAAAACTTTAAAATCTTGTAATATAAAAAAAATATTTTTATTTTAAGAAGAATTCAGTTGAATACACCATGAAACATGCTGACATTTACAGGAATAGTTAAATTTAATTTAAATGGTCAGTCATGAGCGTCATACGATTACTTCAATAATTCTTAGTGAATTAACCAGTATTATTTATTTTTTCTTTAACGACTCAAAAAACAAACTAAAGTATTTTAAGAATTTTTAATCACAAAAATAGATTTTTCAAAAATGAATAAACATTTATTAAAATACTTAATAATTAAACGGTTTAATTTAAATATAGGAAACAATATGGATTGTTAAAATAAATAATGTTTTTTTTTCTAGGGACTACCGCTTGGAAGACTGGTTGTCAATTGTTGGCTCATTTACGTTTTATGATTATCTTATATGGGTAGAAGACATGGCAAATCATGTTTTTTATATGGAGGTTATTATGGCTGTATTGGTTGCCACGATGGCGGTATTATACACATTTTTAAATGTTTTAATTTGAATTATGAAACAAAGTATAACCTCTTAACAATAAATATATTTTTATAGTTTTGGTGTCCTGGTCGTATCAGCCAATTACAAGGTATAACACTGGGAAAAATGGTATTTAACATGAGAGTTGAAATGATTGATAACATTCATCCTAAGGACCGCATAAAACTTACGGAATCTGGTATAATGGAAATAAATCATACCACTGATTTGACTTTGGTCCGAGCTATAGTACGTTCATATTTTAAAATCATTTTAAAACTTCACTTGTCGTTCTACATACCTAAACTAAGCCTAATAAACAGAAGTGTGTATGATATCTTGTTTAGAACAGTAGTTGTTCAGTATATATATTAGGACAAACCTAATATACCTAAAGCTAGTACAAATATAAGCCGTAGTGTCAGTCCAAACACAAAAGAGGATTAGTGAACTGATTAATTGTATACTCACGAGTACAGAACACTGCTGCCTACATTTGCCACCCCACCCCCTCCAAAAATAAAAATATTATAATCAAGTTACCTATAAAAATGTTTATTTATTACTCTTACAAAATTAAAAAATTTAATTTTAATACATTTAAATGAATAAAATTGGTGAATTCTAAAATCAATATTATTTTAAAAAGATTACTTAATTAGCAAAAGATTTTTAATTTGTATTAAAGTTGTAGTTCAACTCGCTAACAAAGTAATATCGTAACACATGTTAAAAGTAAATTTCCATGACAACATATATTCATCTGGTAAAAAGTAACCCCGTGGCAAATGATTGGATAGAAAATGTCTGTAGGTATACGTTTTAAATTTTTAAAAAACAGAAATTTTAACATCATATAGTAATGTTTACTACTACTCTGTGTTTTGGACTTAAACGTTAATAAATAAATGTAGTCATTTCCTTAGAGTGTAGCAATTAGTAAATAAAGTCTTATATTTGTAATTTTAACGTCATATAATAATGTTTAATAATATTCTGTGTTTTTGACTTAAACGTAAATAAATAAATGTAGTAATTTCTTAGATTTTAGCAATTAGTAAATAAAGTCTTACATTCAACTGATAACAAAACTTTGTTTTTATTACTAGTATTAGTCGACAAACCTACAATAACTGAAAATCCTTAAAATACACAGGCAGGTGGCCGATATTGAGTCAAAAATCCCTTTGCTTAACCTTACTAAGGGCGGCACATTGAAAAACTTCATAAATACAAAAATTCCGGAGCTCTTCACTTTTGTACACACTCCAATCGTTGGAGAGCAGCCAATAATCAAATGATCAAACTACCCAATCTCATGTGTCAGGTCCGGAAACCAGTGACGACTTTGGCCACTTTTATAATAGGTACTAATAAACTAATTAAACTAGACTTCTATAATTATGCTTAGATAAGCAGATGACAGATGTGAGTAAATCGATATCAATGAATTATTGAAGAATATTTATTTTTAGACAAATACTTTGTTATTGTAACATACATAATGAAGTTTTTCATTGTCAACATACCTTACGGGAAAAAGTCTCACATCTCGTAGAATAGTCCGATTTATACTAACTTTGTTATTTGTTATGCTTAGTCATATTATATAATGTCATTGATTTAGTTTCAAGTTAGAGTACAATTCAATTTTTAGTTAAGTTTAAAATTACCATTTGTCTAAAGTTAATTTGAAGTAGGTAAACGAATTGTACCCCGTCATTCTCCTTTTAAATTACGGTCTTAGATTTAAAGTGATTACTGTAATTTTTTTAAAAAGACAATCTGTCAATTAATATGATTTGCAAATAGAATTTTTACTACCCCTTCCCTTGTACCTGTATATCCTAGTTATTCTACATTTTATATTTTGACCTTGACGAACAATAAATAATAATAGAATATAGGTAGCTGTAACAACATATATTTTATTATAACTATGTAAGTACTTAATTCAAACAATTTTCCGAGTTCTGCATACAAATAGTTTAATTAAGGGCTGTGGTGGTGTTGCATCTAACTGAGGTATCGGCACGTTTGAATACAAAACATAGTTATAATATTACGTAGGTTTAAGTTGAGTATATGATTAATAATCGACTCAACAAGCACATTGACGTAGACCAAAATCGTGACTAAAATACTTACATCGTAAAAAAAATATAAATAAATGTATATACAATACAAACGAGTGTACCTATTTATTATTCAAACAATTTGTAGGTATTTAAATTTTGTCGTTAAAAATAATTTAGGACCATATACGTATATAACTATATATTTTGTGATTTCAAGGTGTGTTTTAACTAAACAATTAAAAAGTTTGTAAAATATTTCGTTGTCAGGTCCTATTTATATTATAAGGACGTATGCGGTAAAATAGGTTTACATTGTTATTTTTCTGTTTTTTTAACAAAGAGCTTAACTTTAAAGAATTCCAAATGCGATAATAATAGTGTGTACCTAGCATATACAAATTCGGTTGTACCTTTACTCAAGAAAACTGAAGAAAACATGTTTTATTTTACTTAAATTCTCGCAAATGTTAAATAATGTTAAAAACAAATTGTTGTTTTTAATTATTTTAACAATCTAAAAATGTAATACATTTCAAAAAATTCATTCGTTTTATAAGCACGAATAGATATTAGATAGGTGTATAATGTAAATTATATATATTTTTTTATCCATATTTTACAACTGGTGATTGCCGTACATAGCTGTTTACACATACTATGAGTCACACTACTAAATTTACATGCGGAATGTGATATAATTTCTTCTAATCTCTGAGTATGTCTGACAAAGACAACAAATGACATTTAAGCCGTCGTTTTAAAATGGTATTTAATAGTTAAGGTTAAGTTTCGATTAGGGTAATCGTAACTTCGTAATCTAACTGTAAATAAATTGGGTAAAAATAATCACAATTTTTTTTTATAGACAAAAACCTGGTTTGAAAGAGTTAGTGAACTTAATTTATTTAAAAACTTTTAAGAAAAGTTTCAAGTTCCAATCATAAACCTTTATTAAGAATAGGTAGCAAAAAGCACTAGAAATTCCATTTTCCTAGAAATAGTTCTCATATAAAAGTATTCTGACTTTTTTAAAATACTTTTTTTATAAAAAGAGGGGTAAGGATATGTAGGGCCAACTAAAAGAGAGGAATTTATTTGGGAACTTTATACTTTTAAAATTACTATTGATATCTATTTAAATGAAAATTAAAAAAAAAATTCACAGAAAACAAAATTAAAAAAAAAGCTTTAAAATAAATTAAAAGTCTTAAACAGGAACTTTTATTATATATTAAATGAAAAATAAAAATTTATCGTTTTAATATTAAAGTCCACAGCTAATTTCTATCCAAGCACAAAACTAATTAACATTTTAACAACAATTAAATTACAGTTTATAGAAATATGAAACATAGGTAAACTATGTTACCTTAGGTATATCACTGTAATAACATTCTACTGGACACTTTATCATCTATAGATAAAGATTTATATTGAATAAGATGACTAGTGACTAGTCTGGTTAAATGATTGTAGGTAGTACATAAGTTGTTTTCGAAGAATTAAGTTAAATTAGAAAGTGTAGCTCAATTATTTATCACTTATAAAAAACGATTCTAAGAAAAAAAAGAAACTATTTTAATGTGTTAACTTGGTTTTTGATAATAAAAATATATACTTTGAAAAAAATCCATAATGTAACCACAAGCAAAAACATCATTGTGAATGGCAAACAAATAAAAGTTTTTTTAGGTCCAATAGTGCCAGTGCCGCATTAACCATTAATAATTTTAATCATTATATAATAATGATATAGAGGACGGAGAGTAAGAGAGTAAATTAAGGAGTTTATAAAACTATACGTTTTGCTAACTGATGAACAAATTTGGCCCAAACAGGGTCTACACCCGGTCATAAGCGAGATACGAAGAAAACAGTTAGTATTATTAAGTCTTGGCCCCCTTGAATTCTTTCGAAATTAGAAAAAAAAATTAGGTGTAAAAGATATATCGTGCATGAGATTTTGATAATTATTTACAGGTAAGTACAAAATTACAATACATAATATTTTTTATATATAATCTTAGTATTAAAAAAAAAACTATTTTAATTATTATTTAAAATGTTTAACAAAACAAAACAAAACAAAAAACTACTTCAAATTTTTCTTACCTTTCATGTTTAGAGCCAAACATTCACTTTCATACATCATTGCTGGCCTTACTACTGTTTAATAAAATTTTCCTTTCACTCTAAAATGGGACGATTGTATAATTTGCGCTGAAATAATTAGGTCAATAGTAAATTTGCTCAGTGTTTTTCTATCTTATCAATTAGGTTGTAGTAAACTGCGCAAAATTGTTTTCCTCTCTATTAAGGTTAATTGCGCTGAATTCGACTTTTTATTTGAGATGTAAAATATATATTGATTACCTACTAAATACAAATTTACTTAATTAGGTATACGGTATTATACATTATAATATATAATTAAAAAACACCGTTAAATGAAATAATTTATTTTATTTTATCAACACACAATACAGAACTCACACCATCAGACATCCATGTAGGTACCTAATATATTTAAGTACCTAATATTTTTTACAATTGTTTAGAAATCTAATTGTCTACAGCTTAACGTTTAGCTAGAAAACTCATTATATTTTGTCACTCCAGTAATTTAGCTTCACTTTTTAGTTTTTTCGTGGTCATTGAGTTCATTTGAAATTACTATACATTTTTGAGGCGAACACGTTTTATTGTGTAAGTACACCACCACTTTTCTTCGCTATTTGTAACTACTTTATTTACCTGAATGTCTAAAACCTCGTTAAAACTTAAATTATAATTCTTAATATTTTGGACCTATTGTTATTTTCAGGCGCATTCTAAGACATAATATGTACCTACTATTCGAACAGATAATTTTGACGTTATAGCCAATTAGGTTAAAGAGTATTTATATTGCCGATATGTTTAATGTTCTGAAATTGTTAAAGGATATTCATATTATAGTTAACACAAAAAAATAATAATAAATAAATTGTGTCACGTGCGCCGCATATCGTACAAAAAGTACCTTATGTCTTAAAAGCTGATATTTTGATGAAAAAAAAATTGTTATGGGTAATAGTCATGAGTCATGACGTAAGCGGTGGTAAAAGTGTATTATAAATAACAAAACACGTAAATTATTATTTATGTCACGGTATATTACAATACTTAATAATATGACAATAGTATTACAATTCTGGGGTTTAAACAATGTGAAAAGTCGTTTACAATTCTTAAACCCTGGCAACCGTTCAAAAAGCGAGTAATATGATGTTGTATTTTTTTTTTAAATTAATATACCTAACCTTTTGAGTATATTTTAAAGGTTAGTAGTGGTAAATGGTAATATAGGTCAGCAGCGGTAACCTAAACCGTGTGGATGAATTTGACGGTTTCGACAATATTTAATAGATTATCATAAAATGTCTTTGAATTATACAAATATAAATTAAAATTTTTAGCTCATTATTTTGTTCTCGTTAAATTTGTTTTGACCACGTTATCGGAGGAAAAAAGTTGTACAGAATTAATGTGTCACACTTATCAGAGTTAACCAATTCCAAAATGTATTCATAACCTGAAAATACTTAACGATTCAAATGTAACAAAAAAACGTTTAAAAGCTCATCCTGAAAAGTGAAATTATGAACTTTTTCACCCGAACTAAATAGCTATCAACATTGACCAAAGATGGGATCCTTTATGTATATTAATTAAATATTTTTGCCACCTACCCTAGATTTTTCTCCTCTCTTCTTTAGCATAGCCCTGAATAGAATCTATGTTAATCTATGTTAACAAGGACTAGAAATTTTAAAATAAGGTAGTTTAGTCTAGGAAGTTAGATCTAGATAACTAGGTATTTTTAGTTTTTGTATAAGCTCTATATTGTGTGTTTATTATTAGTATTATACCTAATTAGTGTTTTGACTTTTTAAATCAATATAGAATTTCCTATCAAAAGTGTGTCCTGTATGTATGATGTCAGATGTGTCATATGTTGTGTCATAATGAGTATGAATATCCTAAAAAAAACTATGATTTTTGTAGATAAAATAACAATTTAAAATGCTAGATCGTTTATACTGTATTAGAATATAGGTTAGTGTTTAATATTAAATAGTGTTCATCTTAAAAGAATAAAGACTGAAAATCAGCACAAGCTATAAATCAACGTGTCCTCTAAACAGATGTCAAAGCGATAAACAAGGTCGCGACTTTCATTCACCATAAAAAGTAATATTTATCCAATACATTTCTAAAACAAAAGTTCTTCTATACAATTGTACACATAGGCCACTACCATTCTGTTAATATGTTGTTTAATAATATTGTTTTTTAGGCATTTACAAATCACATGGTAATGTAGGTAGTACATTTTCAACATTTTAAAGGTATCCCGTACCTTTATTTTTATTAATATTTAAATATCTACTCAACGCGCTTGAACTTTTTATTAGTGTGTTTATAATATACCGTATACTGTTTCATGTAAGCCCATTAAACTATTCCATTTTAAAAATATTTTTAAAAAAAAATTTAGTGTATTAAAAACACTGACCAGATCTACGACACAATTTATCCAATTTTTACGATAGTTTTGTAGTGTTAACGGTTTAATGTCTGTAATCTGTATGTATGATAATATATAGTAATATCTAATAAATATAGTTTTATATCATTAAAATACGAATAAAGAATCAACCAACATCAAGTATTAAATATTTTTTTTAGAACTATTACAATAATTGTTTTGAAATTTGAATAAATTAAAACAGTTAAATGTTATATTTTAATTTTTAAACGGGGCCATATGTGATGTCATATGTTTTATTCCGTAATGCCTATAGGAATAATAATTAAATAACGTAACTACAGTAAGTAGTTTGTACTTAAACAAATTGTTATACAGTCGCGTTTGATTATCTCATTTTGTGATATCATAATTAAATATCGAATCCAAATAAAAACTATAAAAAATCAATTTACTGTAATTAATCCAGTAGCCAATAATAAAATCTAGTTAAGTACCTAGTACGGTTTAAATGTGGTAGGTACTTAGACAACAGTCAAATTATTTGATATGATCAGTTCCAACTAAAAATAGAATAATACCATTCCTTGAAACAAAGTGAATTTATAATAATTTTATCAACAGCGCTATACTATGTACAGTGATAATCTAATGAAGTACTTACCTACCGTAAGTATTGTCTACATATTTTTTAAACATAATTAAAAAAATCAAAAATGAATTCAACTAACTAGTATTTAATCCATATAAATAGAAATATTAATAAAACAAGTATTTACAGAACCCTAAATTATGAGAAGAGATTCCGTATGGGCCATTATTAATTAAACCAATTATTAAACATATTCTAATCAAATTTACGTATAAATAGACATAAATTGCAAATGAGATAATCTATAATACATTTTTATGAAGTGTGCATGGCGCATGCCTATATATAGTATATACGCTCTACAAACATTAATAGGTCAATATTTAATCCGAATTAGTAAACAATTTAGGTCATCACACAAAATATTTGAATTTTGGCTCATTTATGTTAATCGCCCACACAAATAATATGTTTTTACTATTTAAACGTTTTTATGTAGCCTAGTAATTTATAAATAGTTAATGATTCAAACTAAAATAATTTGTGAAATAAATAAATAATGAACTTTACGAGGACGCCACACCACCCACCCGTATCTTGGCAGTAGAAGTCGTCGTGAGGGGGACAAGAGTTTTTTGGATTGTAGGTATTCGTAGTTAAGTTACAACATTTTTACAGTAGGTACACAGAGAAGAACTTTACCTGGCCCTTGGCAAACTTAGAAAAAAACACCTTTTTACCAATTAAAAAATTAATGTGATGATATTTTTTTTAAACAATTTGTACACAGTAATCAATATAATAAAAAATATCATTTTGAAAGTAGAATAAAAATACCACTTTTGAAGCACAATTTTGCGTCCCTGGCGTAAGCACAGTCGCCATACCTTTGCTACGCCATTGCCTGGGTCGTTGCGTTTTTATTTAGTTGATAACTTAAACCCAATCCAAGTTATTCATTCGTAAAGATTGTTTATTTTTCTCCAGTATTAATATTTAAAAATGTAAAAACGACACGGCAGAGATAAAGTTTTCTTCTATGTATTGTACAAATTTGTAAATTTTACTGTGAATATTGACCTCGTAAGTTTCTCCATTTGATGGAAAAAATTGTAATTTACCCTATAGAAATGACTGCGGTAGTCTGACAAAAAATGCCAACCAATGAAGAATCCTCATTACTGTATTTATAAGTATACACTTGACCATCAAACTCTAAATTAAAATTTTGCGAAAAATCGTCTAAAGTTTACTCCTTAGAACTTAATAAATAGGAGGTATCACGTTCTCTCAATGTTAAATTATACTGCAAAAGTTAACGGGTTTACTCTCACGTCTGAATTGACTGAATGTCATACGACATACATTCTCCTACAACCTGTGTGTAAGCATGTTGATTAGTATTTAAGTTACAATTTTAATGAAAAATTAAAATTTGCCATGTTAAATGTTAATTAGACTCAAAAAATAATTTTGGAGGATGTATTTATAAATTATAAGTAGTGCTAGACATCTGAAATTTTAGGGTTTTTTTTTTTTTTAATTTCTTATTTGAAACTGTAACTCACAGTTTGTTTCAACGATTAAATTTCTTATTTAAATAGACGTGGTACTATTCATTGAGGAGACGGAGGTTTTTTTTTGACAGTCTAATATAATATGTAAAATGGGCATTGATATTTTAACAAACTGTGAGTGAGCATAAGTGTAGTCGCGATGCACTATAGCGACGTCTTGTATAATAAATAATACGAAACGGGTCAAAGTTTTTACTATTTCAATAGTAATTACTATACTATGTAGTACATGTATGTTGTCCGCGCGTTTAATTACTCTTAAAGAATTTAAATAAAAACAAGGAACGACACGAATATAAATCAGTGTTTGGTTTTATTTAGTTATTAATTGTTTTTAGCATTTGCACACGGCCGATGATGAAACTGTCAAGTGTTAACGAGGGAGAGCGATTCAAGACGTATTCAAAGACCGTGGAGTCCAGGGGTTGGTAAGCTGCGCGGACAACCCGTCGGCGAGCCGCGTCGCTCGGCGGGGGAACTGGCGGCCGTTGCCAACATCCGTCCGGTCCGAGCTGCAGTATTGGCGCACGCGCACACGCCGTACCGATTCCACCAGCGACTTGCCATTATTGGGCAATTGTTACTTGATATTCCCGTGGCGTTCCCTTCGTACCTATTGGCTATTCTTCATAATATCATCCTGTTCGATCATTATCGATCGTCATTTGACTGTCGAAAACGCACAATAATTCCTCAGTGGAACGCATCGTTTTACCGCGTTGCTCTACGACGGCAACCAACAACCACATACGTCTACCTCGTGCACGATGTGTTAAATGCCGTATTGTTTTTCTCAATACCAATACTGTAAACCGACCAACCTACACTTATAGCCGCCACCGGCCGCCGCATACTCACCCCGGACGCCGCTCATATCACACACATTCACGCACCGCACTCGAACGCTGCCTACTCGTCCATCGACATCAAACCGTGTAACGGTCTGCCGGTAAACAAATTTTTGATTTATTTCGTTTCTTTTTACCGTAGATTAATTAATTAATTATTTTTACATGTCTGCTTGTTCGTTAATCAACACCGTACAGGTTGACATACTCAGCCTGCGACGTCACGTTATTCCACCTTTGTGTGTTCCTCCACTCTTACTTAGGATTTTACTTATTTGTTTTCTGTCGTGCATGCTGTATTATCTAAATTTAGGTCATTATGTAGTAGTACCGCGCTCAACAAGGCAATCCAACCTTAACTGCCAAATAAGGCCATTGAAAATTTGTATTGTTTATTATTTAATGAGAAGTACTAAATTCCTTGCTAGTGTTCGGTAAGTGACGACTGCAAAGTTCGATAACGATATATTTTTCTTATTTTAATCGCTCAAATGTTTCTCCCTTATTCTTCATCTCTGGCTAATGTTACTTTAAATTGCATTCATATGTTTGTAGCTGTTGTCTTAAATTTCTTCAATTGTCAATCCAATCAATAGGCATTTAAATGACTCAAAGAACATTTTTACAATTTAATACTTTCTGCTTAGACAAATTTTCTCATAAATTATACTGTTGTCTTATATTTTTGTTTTTTACTAAGTATTATTTACATTTTTAGATTTTAACTATAGGAAGTGCGATCACTGGATGGTTTCTTCCCTCACCCTATACATATTAAATTACTTGTAGCACATATTCTTATTATGCCTAGGGCATAGATTGTATATTTCGAATTAAAAAAAAAAAATTTGAACTACATTTTTAGAATAATGTTAATATTTTGTCTTTGATCTAAAAAAAAAATCTTGATGTGTAAAAAAAAATTAAAATGTTGAAATTCATTAAAAATTTGTTAAATACCATCTTTATTTAATTGGTTTGATTGAAAAAATTATGTATGGATAAGCTCTTAGTGTTTCAATAGAAACAACCCATGTACAATATACAATTATTACGGAAGTATAAAAAAAATATTTACTACATTTCATAAATTACACAAACGCAGAAAAATTTTAAATTATGATATTTTCCATCTTGTACAATAATAATACTAACATTTTTTTCATTTAAACCATAATTTTTCCTTATTGTGATTTTCAAAATTTTTGAATTGGAGATTTCAAAATGTTCAACTTTTGGCACTTTGATGTTTTTTGGGTGACTAACAACATGTGTTATTTGTTTTTAAGTGTTTTGTGAATGGCAATACGAGTGTTCTTTTTTATATTCTATTGTGATTTTCAACATTCCATGCTTTATTTTGATACATCTGTGCGTTAAAAATTGAATTGGTCTTGCCTTCACGTCTAAACCTTTCAACCAGAACACATGGTTTTAATTTTAAATCTCACCTGCCACCTTTGTTACTGTATGGAATAGTATATCAGAGTAAACTGTAAAAATCTGTCTAAAATGTATCACTGTATGTTAAAATCAATTTTTTTTTTAACCAAAATATAATGGGTATATTCAGTTTTTTGCAAAGCAACAAAACATCAGCAAATTAAACTTTCAGATAATTCAATAATTGTTGTTCATTTTTTAAAAATGTGTATATTATATCTTACTAAGTACTTCAATCATTCGAAAAAACATACCAAATTGCTAGCGTGTTAGATATAACAATATAAGTTCTAACAACTTGTCTTTGTATAATATGCATAATATATCACAGTTAGTTTCAAATGAGTTTTTCATTTATATTTTTAATTATCATGATTTATATCAAATATAAACTCATAATACATATTTTTATTTAAAAAAAACCACTTCTCCCTATTTATTTTAAAAGTATCAACAATTTTAAAAATGAATTGTAGTCTGTCCCAAGATAAAATGGGCCTGTACAGAAACCAAAACTCATTACCTACACCTGTTTGCTTTTGCACAGTTACATACAAGAGTAATAATATGTATTAGTTTCTGTGTAGGCTCGTTATCTCGTAGGACAGAGGATAGTTAATGTATATTTGCCTCGGTAGTATATATTTAGGTATTATAACCAATTGATAATGGAAACTATGTATTATTTGTGTTATGTGAATTTAGAATTTAAATGCTATGTAGTTAATTTAACAAAAATGTTTTTTAACCTTAGTGGTTAGGTTAGACTAGTTTCTAAAATATTTTAGACATTTTAAAAACACTATGTATAAAATTACCCCAAGGTTTTTTCCTTGTTATTGTAAATTGGTCATTTATTAATAGTTTTTTTTCTTAATGACTATTTTTTGCTTTTTTTTTATTGTAGAAGAAAAACTGGGAGTTCATTCGATTTGTTGCAGTTTAATTTACAAGCTTCAAATCTATTGTTGGTATGTACCTATATTTTAATCAGTTATATAATTAGCTATAAGTATTTTAATAGGTATAAAACATAACGGTTGGATGATTACAGTAGTATGTAAGAGTATGTAAGAGTATGTAATAGTATGTAAGAGTATTGTGTTACAGTTTTATATATTAGGTGGTATATTTAAATCTACTTTAGTTTTGGAATTCCATATGAGTCCTAATTATTTTAAGAACAGTAATTTACTTGCACCGAGTCTTATTATCTAAGTGTAATGTTTTAAAATTCTGTGACCTCATCAATGATGTCATGTCCCCCCTGTCTCACATACTGTTAACATCTGTTGTAGTTCTTTATTGTCTTGTCCTTCATTTTGATCAGTAGAAACATTGTTATTGTAAACATGTTTTTAATTCAAATGACCATTAATAATGTGATAATAAATTCAAACATTCCTTTATCTTTCTTTATCCATTTTTACTTCATCTTAAGTGACGCGCGTAGTAACAGATCAAATCAAATATTTTTTTCCCCATAATTCTACTTTAATAATTAATAATGTCAGTGGTAAATAATAATTAATTCAAATATTCGTTTGTTATTTAAATAAAAAATGTCCAGGTTTGATTTTAGTGTATTAATATTATGGATTTAATTTGTTGCATACTTCATAGTGTACAACATTTTTGCACTAAGCAAAATCTAATATTGTTTATATTTATTTCAAATGATTTTTTTTTATCATTGTAATAGGTACGTGATGTTGAACAAAAAAACCTTGACTAGTACTAGGTAGAGGGACATTATTGCTGTTGTCTTATTTATCTCTGTTCTTTACGATTAGTTTGCATTTGTGTACTCTAATGCAATTTTATGAATTCTAAAACATGTTTTTAACTTAACTGGTTACCTAATCTATGAGAGTGTATTTTTAGTAGTTGTTAGATTATTTGTTTTATATCAAACAGTTGGATTTAAAATATGTAAGGTTGTAATCATCAATAATATTGATATTTGCACTTGAGCAAACAAAAATAGTGAAGTCATATTTTCAATGTACTTTTATACATAAGTCCTTGATGTGATAAATCTGTGTATAACATAATATCAGTTATTATTTTTTTTTTACTTCAGTACCTTACCAGTTGTAATTTCAATTCAATCAATAGTAAATTATTTATAAATAATGGTGCATTCGAATTAAAATATAATATAATATAGTTAACATTGAAAAAAATTCACACCTTCTATGACAATAAGCAGTTATTGTATTTTGTTGTTATACTAAAGTTTATGTAAACTGTCTCCAGTTATAACCAATTCAACTAATATGATTACTGGAAAAATATAAACAATATTTCTAAATTAAGGACAAGTAGGGCAATTTACACAATCATAACTCTTGTAATATCTACACAGTTTTCTTACTTCTAACAGTAACTACAACTAAATAAATATAACTTTTTCAATTTAAAAAGTATAAAATGCCGTGAAAATGAAATTTGTGTTGTTTAAAGCGCAATACCATTTCAAGTTCTAAGAATATATTTTTATTATTTTCTCACTGATAACCACTTTAGATGTGTTGTTATACTATCATATAAATAGAATTGGGTTTTCAGTTAACTGTACAGCTACACATTTTCATAAGCTTTCCCTTTAATTGTATTAATTAACTACTTAGTTGCATCTTTATCAGTGATTTAAGTTGTGTATATGTTATTTTATAGTTTTCAATAGACAACAACAATTTTTCCAATCCAATTTTGTACAATAAAACACTTGTTTATTTAAGATAACTTGTTAAAAATAGACAACCTTTTTGTTATGAGTAATTAGATTGTTTGTTTTCTTTCAGATTTTTATTTTACTCGGAAGTTTCTGTGAAGAGGAGATATAAATAAGTCGTTAAAATCTTTTAAGAAACTAGAATATATATTCTAGTTTTACTTCTACATTAATAATCAACACCAAACACCTACAAAAATGTCTTCTTGGCAAGATTATGTAGACAAACACTTAATAGCATCCAGATGTGTAACTAAAGCTGCAATAGCAGGTCACGATGGTACCGTATGGGCTAAATCAGATGGGTTCGATGTTAGTAAAGAAGAACTCAGTAGGCTCATTGCGGGTTTCGAGAATCAAAGTGTATTGGCTGCTTCTGGTGTGACGCTTTCCGGCAGTAGATATATCTATTTATCAGGCACTGACAAAGTCATCAGGGCCAAGTTGGGCAAAGTTGGTGCTCACTGTGTAAAAACCCAACAAGCGGTCGTCGTTTCATTGTATGAAGATCCCATTCAACCACAACAGGCTGCATCCGTTGTTGAGAAGCTCGGTGACCATTTGGTAGCTCATGGATATTGAACGATACGATAATGTCACTTAAGTGCTTTGAAAATCAATAATATTATCTTTGATTGGAAACTCCAGGTTATCAGGAATGACTAAACAGATTTAAAAAAAAAACTATACAGCATGATATGGCATTTAATACACATTAAATTAAAATAATCAAACTTTCATTACATCTGATAAATTAATGTTCATGATTTTGGGTCACAAACTAGGTATAGATTATAAATATATTTATATATTATTTTATTTTTATTTATTTTTTCTTATTGAATATCAAACATAATTATTTCTATGTAGCTTTTATTGTTTTTTGATTACTGCTAAAGTTTTTAAATTGTTGCTTGGGAACTGTAGGTTTGTTTTTAAAATAATAAATTATTAGATGTAAGCAAATCTTGGACATCTTAATAAAACTACATAATTATGAATTATAATTTTTAAATGTGTTATAATATAATTTTACACATCTGTTTATTTTGCATAGTTGCCTGAAACTTATTACCAATAATTATTAATAATAGTCAAAATTAGGAAAACCTGATAAGCCAAAAATCTTTCTTTATACTTTTTACTAATATTTATATTTTTCCTATATTGTATACAAACGATCAATTCTGATCTTATATTCTTATCCCTTTTAGATGTTTTTGCTTTATACTTGTTACGATGTGCACATTATACTGTTTTATTTAGAGAAACAGTAGTTAATATATAATAATATAATTTATACAAATCCATGACTCAAATGAAAGAATAATAATAATTGTACCTAGCAGTAATGTATTTTGTAATTTGTTTGATATTTAATTGGCTGTGTGGTGTCTTTATTTTATGTTTATTAATTATATATATTTTTTAATTTCTAAGCAATAATAAATGTATAGCTTTTGATACCAATTTACGTTCCCGTGCAAATAAGTAATTATAATAATAAAAATAATTCTATTGTATAATATATATATTTTTTTTTTATTATAACCAACCAATAAAAATATTTATACAACATTTTACTTCCATAAATTGTTTTTATTTTCTTGATATTTAAGAGTTACTTACACAATATCATAGTTATAACCCTTAGTTTTTTCCCCATAAAAATTGTACTCAATCTAACGGTTAATGTAATAAGCAAATTTGATAAGATTTGGACTTGTGCAAATCGCTGTTGTGTACAGATAATTCTTGTAGTTAATGCTGAGAATAATATTTGATTATAAGTAATGAACTATTGACCTAATGTAGTTCATATTATTGGATTTATCAATTATACAGGTTTTCTGTCTGCTTATGGGATACATTTTCTTAATGACTTAAATTCAATTACACCTGAATAGTTAAACGTTTTTCTAGTTCAATTGTTTATTGGTAAAATTAACCTCGGATACTGTTCAACTAATTAGTAAGTTTTAACATCATCCGAACTTTGTGTAATAGTTGTAATTGAGTTTTGTTGTTTTTAGAATTGTTGCATCGTCAAGTGTGCCAACTGTTCGACTACTCGAACTCTTATAAAAATGTCCATCGACAGACTGTGGAAGTGTTTCTTTTACAAAAGTGTCTTCCGTGTATTCGCAACTGGCATTCGAGTACACACCACATACAGGTATAATATATTGTACACCTATAATTTATATATATATAAAATATGTGTGTATGTATTGTATACGTACATAAATGAAATAATAGATAGACACGCACACGGCGAAACGGCCAATAATGGAGTGTAGCGTAACTTTTCTTGTGTGTGCTGCGCGAAAAACCGATTGTTATCTTTATTAATTTTCGGGTAGTCAAACACCAAAGCCAGTGTGTGAGTGTTCTGATGCAGGGAACTGTAGTCTACGGTCTGTAGATAGGTACCCACCACGGTCCAAGCATTATCGAGTACCATTGATTGATCCGGGAATATATAGCGTGTGTGTGTTGCATTGTGGTCGCCGGATCTTTTTGTCCTACTTCTAGGAAATAAACAAATGGAAATAAAAAATAAAAAAAACGTTCGGCCGTTATTATTACCATCCGTTATCACCGTCGTCGTCGTCGGGACCTTGACGTGAAAATCGTCCACCGCGAATTCGCCACCAATCGTTTTTTTGACGTTCGTGTCAAGTGCGGTCATATAATCGTACCTGTACGATGTACACAATTAACTAGAGGAAAAAATAATCGCGTCTCTAAGATTGCGAGCAACCCGAAAATTTGGTATTTTTTATTTATTTTCATTTAGCGATTGCATGGTTAGAAAGCAAAACTAGAGGGGGGACCGTGTCGGAGCGGACGCAGGTTTAAAATGTAAAGTTGGAAGAATCGAGTAAACGAAGGTGCTTTGTGTGAATAAAGATATTGCAAATACATTTTTCCCATATGGAGTTAGATAAAATAGAATAGAATTTATTTTTGCAAACATGATTTGGTTTTATTAGAAACCAAGGCGAATAATAAACCGCTTCCAATCCTTTAAGAGGACGTTCAGTGTAGGTAATTTTTTGTATAATCTTAATTTAAACGTTAAACTTTGATGTGTAATTATTAGTTCACCAATTAGGACTTTTGGTTGTTAATTTATTTTTCAGACTATCACAGCATCCTTGACATTGATTTAAATATTTATTTTATCTAAACAAAGCTACGCATATCCCTCTATTATTGGCTTAATAATAATCGAAGACAATTTTTTTTACATATTTAAAATAATGAGAACTTAACTGGGTTCTCTCGTTGGCTTCTTTAATATTATTCACAATTTACATTATATATTTTTTTACCATTTAAGCGCTTGTATTTATAGTAAAACATATTTTTTTTTAAATACCGACGAGAGAACCTAGTTAAAGTTCTCCTCTTTTTAACGATGTCGACATTTTTTTCTATGACCATTTTCGCTTTGCCATAAACAATTTTTTACGATTATTTTTAAAAGGTATGACGTCCTCTTAAGTAGAAAAAAAGACATTAAAAATTCTCATTTAAAAACATATTTTTTATGAAAAGGACGTCTTAGTTATGATTGTCGTTTGGGTAGCCTTTGAGCATATTATCTTAAGAATTATAAAAGAAGTAATTTAAGTAAGTTCAATACTTGGAAATTCCAAAATGTGTTTACTTATGTGTTTTTCGATTTTAATGGGAGAGCTTGGAATTGACATACAAGCAGAGGCGGACTGATCAGGTGATGTTACACTTTTAAAATAAATAAATGATGTTGAGAAACAAAATTGTTTATGTTCAATAATATACTGAGACCTGAGCTATGTCCTATCAATTCAAAGTAAAGATTGTATCAATAACGTGTTTCGATATAAATCTGTTTGATTTTAACTTTAGGTCTAAGATTATTCTACTATAACAACTGCATATCCGGTAGGTATATTATATTACATTAGTCCGAATAAAAATATTATGAATCATAGGACCCACAAGCCAAGGTTTTAGTGTTGCTGGTCTGACTGGAGCGATAAATTATTTGATCTGAACTAAATTCCCAATATTGGAGCAATTATTAAATAATTGTCATATTTTATTTACTTTTTAGAAAAGACTAGTTCAAAACAATACACTTGATCATAATGTATTGAGACGAGAAACTGGTATTTTTTCATATGGGTAAAAAACTACTTAAATCTGGGCGTTTATCGGCAATTAATATAATATATATTTTTTTAAATCTAAGTAATAAAAGCCATTTTTAATTTCAGTTTTTATCAGCTACTCCGTTTTCTATGGGTTTTATCGTATATTAGTAATGTAGATTATTAGAGTACGCGGTTAACCGATTTTTATTCCTAGAACTAACTGTTGTTTTTATATTAAATTTACATACTCCTATATGGTATTCTTTTCACGCGACGGTTTTCGAAGAATACATTCTATATTTTGGTTTACCGTTATACCTGTCTGGTTTTGTTGCTATAGACGATTAAAAGAAAAAGATTTACCCGTTGCTTGCACTTGTATAATATTCTAAGTACACATCGCTTACAATTTATTATTGATCACGATTTTGATGTGGTTACACGGGTTATAATGTACCCAACAGGTTAATGTAACATTAACACTACAGTTCTTTGTGATTTTAACTTCAGCGTTAAATGTTGCGTTACTTGTTAGACAACAATATTCAGCACTAAACATTGGGATAATACCTACAAACGTTTATATTTTGTATATCAAAGCTTAAATTTATTATACAAGTACGAACGAATTAAGGTAATTGAATTTCAGTAGAATTATGTGTCTATTGAGATATGACTACATTTTTTTTTCTAGCAAGAAATTTCGAAATGGTTAATTTACAAAAGCTGTTTTTCATAATTAAAATAAGGACAAAATAAAATGTATAGTTTGTTTTAACTAAACATTTAGTTGTTGTGACTATTTATTTCAAAATTATATATTTTTTCCATGTAAAAGTATTAACTACAATTTGCAACCATAACATATGTTATTATAACAGCATAGCAAGTACACAATGTAAATGGTGGACTAATAGCCGTAGTTTAATGTGTTTTATCAATTAATTATAAATTATGTTATCTCGTTTATCGCTCTTGCGAACCGCATTAGTTTGTACGTAATATAACGATAATATTATATTACAAAATAATTACCCGCAATGTTCCCCGTTAAAGGCCTAATGCAGTAGGGTCAAAAATCCTGCACTAACACGATACTCTAGTCTCTAAGGTTTTTAGAGATTGATTAACATATTTCAATTTAGAAAATGCGTAGTTTTTATATTTTAAATCTATGATAATTATATATTGTATTAAATCATACTTTTTATAAATCTATATATATAAAAATGAATGTTTGTCTATATGTCGTTTATGCATTAGTACACCATTCATCCGATCGCCATGAAAATTTGGGAAGTTTTTGAGTACACTCCCGCGAAGATAACTGGCATAGTACTTTTCGAAAATTCCACCCCTAAGGATGGCCTCAAACACTAATTTTGTACTTTAAATACGAAATTTTTTTCGTTGCTAACCCAAACTAAACACTTGGTTTGTAACCATGGTAACCACGGTACTCGAGCGAATGATGATTAATTTTATGTTATGCCGCCCCAAAGTCAATCGACGATTAGTCGATCTACATCTCAAGCACGAATGAAAAGGGCATTACGAGCTTCAGAAACGAAAATTCTATGTACCACCATTCTGGGGACGCTTTTCACAATTAGAACTAGATCTGTGACTGGGACCCTTGAGTAAGAGGGGGGGGGGCATAATCAATACAATGTAATGTACATATCGCACCCCCGGTAGATCCAAAAAAAGCCAAGACGGGGTATACTAATGCTTTACAATATGCAGCCTGGAGAACAGACTTTTTTTTGTAATCTTATTTGTAATTATATTACTCAGCCCTGGAAACTAAATCTCGGGCAACGCCGGGTCGGGACAGCTTGTATTAGATAAATATATTAGTTCAGTCGCTATCTACCTATTGAGTGTCATTTCGTTATTTTCTTTGGTATTCGACTCGTTATTAAGTCGATTGATCACCCCCATCCGTTCTCTGTGATGTTTGTACTGACCACAGGCCAATAATTATTAAAATGGCGTATTGCTAGAATTTTTTAAAGTTATCTATTTTTATGTATTGACAAAGTTGTGTACACTTTAGTATTAATATTATGATCGTTATAAAATAAAAATAAATTTTTAGTGAAAAAAATGAATCATTAATTTTAGTGCGTGTAGTTTGTAGAATTGAAATGGTGAAAAAAACAAATAAGTTGAGCCAGGTGGGGCAATTGTGTTTTTTAATGAAATAATCATCAGCTTATAATTTTATCTGAGTTTTAAATAGAAGAAAACTAGTTTTTAAATAGAACAACGATTGTTAGTTTTTCTAGAAGAAGAAATGTATGTACACTAATTAATATTTACCCCAATATTGACCATACTGCATACATGTGTTCAAAAAAAATCTGACAGAATTTTTTAATAAAATAAATAGTAAGTAAATATTTAAATATAGATATTATATATATATATATTTATGTATAATTTTCTATTCTTTATTGAGCCGTATAGTTGGTAGTCGGTATTGCAAGTTTTCAATTAATGACTGGGAAGTGGGAATGTGTACATTTGGCGGTTTTATGTGTTTAGGTTAAACTGGGATATGTAATTGTGCTTTGTATGTAATATAATGGAATACGATTTAGATAAAAAAACAAAATTAACACAGATGAAAGTGGAGCACATACGTGGGAGGGCCCCATGGGTTTGTATATAATTATGTTTTGTGCTTTAAATAATTTTGGTTGTTCTCAGTATAGGCTCCTGGCCAGGGAAGTAGATTTATATAATTGGAATAACGCCTAACGCCATTAAAATAGAATGCTTATCTCTTGATGAGAACGAAATTATTTTTTTGTATTTTTAACTAGCTGTTCATTTTTCCTCCAGAATATTCATCTAGAATATTGTTAGAGCACATACTAATTATGTATGTAATCAGCGTTTGAATTCTTTTCGACGCTTTTATCGACCAACAATTATCCTATTTTCGCCAAATTTATATTGTATTATAGATTCAAGTAATCATTACCTAATTTACACAATTAATGGCGGAAAGAGGTATTAACTCATCCGAATAGCCGGAAATCTTGATCCGTATTCTTATCTTCACTAATCGATTGATCATTTATTATCTGTTGATAATACTCTTTGTAAATAAGTTTTACCAAGTTTTACCTACTATCGTTTTAAACTATTAGGTACAAGTGTACAACCAAAATTATATACCTACTCTGTTTTTCATTTATACAGAACGCACTGTGCTGTAATATTTTTTTTAATAAAAGCAATTTAATAATATATTTAAGAAAACTATTCGTAAAAAAGTTACAAGTTATAAGTTTTATTTTTGTCGTTTATTAATTATTAATTTAGTTTCTAATCAAATTTGCATTTCCCATGTTTTCATGTGCGTATAGTCCATTAATAATTATTGAGGAATTTTATTTTGTAAATGTATGAATAGTTGTACTACACAAGTAAGTGAGAGAAACGTGTGGCCGATATAATTAATAGAGTAATAATAATAATAAATATTAACAGAGTATATTTTGATTTTGGGGAGTTTTTGGGTTGGCTGATTTTTTCCAAAAAAACATATTGCCTTACAAAACAAACAACATAGAAACCTTAGCATACAAACAGCTTATAAACTAGGTACCAGTAGCGAAACGTATGTCTTGTAGTCGAGGAGACAACAACAATATATTACCTATATATAAGTAATTAAAAAGTGTTTTTGTATTTAGCTAAAGACATAAGTGGTTTAACCTGTCATTAAATATTTGAAACTTTAACGTTTATCTCAAAACACGTTTTTCTAGAAAATGCCCTTCTTGCACCCAGCCCCTCACTTCATAATTAATTATTATTATGCATTTTTTATTTATTAAGGTGATCAATAACGGTCAGATATTTTTTGACGTTTTTGTCCGATTTAAACTCTGAAAAAAGTCCATTGGCCTCTTTACTAGGTTTTGTGTAAAACCTTTTATTTGTTGCTCTTTTACAAGGAAAACAAAGTTACGTTTTAATAATAAATAATACTTTAATTTGTTTTTTTTTTTGTAGGACAAATCTCGTTTTATTAAATAAAAATCTGTTTCTAAAATACTTCGTGTAGAGGTCAATGAACCTTATTTTTTACTAAATACTTGAAATCGAGCGAGCTCCTCAAAGTAGTCGACATTTGTCATTTTGTAAGGCTGTTTGTTTTAAATACCTACGGGGAAAGTCGTACTCTATTTTACTAGTATAAATTATCAATAGTGTAATAAAAAAAAAGGTATTCATATCGAAATCTAATATTATTTAAACTAAACAGATATTTTATTTCGAACAATTATTGCATATATTTTGCCCCTTAGCGCTATTTAAATTTGTAATAACTCGTGAGTTGAAAATACTATACAAATAATCATATTATTGTTTCAAAATTACTTTTTAGAAATTATTGAACAAATGAATGTTTACCTTTTAAAAAGTTAAATTGAATTGTTTAATACAAACATGAGATAACTGTTATCTTTTTGGCTAATATTGATAACCAATTGGAAAATATTTTTAAAAAACGTTGGCATTGTTAATTATTATTTATTTGGCTTAGCTAATAGCTTGAATGTTTTTTCATTTTTTGATTTTTAATAGCAATATTGAGTAAACATTGATTAACATAATTTTACTACATTTATTTGGTAATGGAACATAAATGATTTATGATACAATTGAAAAAGAACTGACAAAATATGAGTGATAATCGCAAATTAATGAAATTTCAATAAAATATTGGGACTTTGGTATACATTTTGGTAAACAAATCATACGTCATACATTTTACTAAAACTTATTTGGAATTTTTAAAAATTGTACTATTAAATGGGTTATCGTACTATAACTGTAAAAGTTGTTTACCATGTAGGTATTATTATTATTGAATAATGGTGCATTATGAACATTTTTTTTATTTATAGAATATATTATATTGTAATCTGTTAAAAACTAATATTAAATCTATTGTATCATTTATTTTATTGTAAATGTTTAGGAGCACCTATGGGAGGGTTAGCAGTGATTCACCTTAGAAAGGGTTGCAACCCTTTTTTACCAGCTGCAGAGGTACACTGGGACATTAAAAAAAAGGGTGCAAAAAACTAAAATGGCTCCTGTACACAATAAAGGGGTAAGTTAACCCTTGCTTAATTTTATTGCATGGTTCATATGGTTTTTTTTCTATATAATTTTTTTTATCCACAGGATAATGTGTATGGCTGCGCAGAAGGGCATATTTGTTAGCGAGTGCGCACTAACTGTCCGATTCGCATACGATTGGGGAACTGAGACCTACGATGGGCAGAGAAGGAAAAAAAGGGTAATGGTTTTTTACTTTGGCCAACCAGAGTTCAGTGCTTCATGCAAAGGACACCAAAAGGGTTCCTGCCGTGAGCTGTAGTCGTCCGATGCCGATGTATACTCCTGCAGTAGTGTCAACGTGCTCGATTAGTGCAGTAGTGGTGGTTTACAGTTAGTGTTAGTTATTTTAAATATTTCAACGCGTTATTGTTATTATTATTTTTTTTTTTAATTTTGCATTTTATACATTTTTTATTGTTTTTCAAGAGCAAGGATTAATTTTTTAAGGATTCCTGCATAATACTATAGTATAAGGTAATATTATTCAATTTACTTAACAAATTATTTTATTAAAACTGGTATTATTATTAGTTTATACAATTTAAATTTTGTATGAAAAAAGAATATTGTTCGAAGGGATTTTTATTACAAACTTTTTAAACCATTATTAATTAATTTAAAAAAATATTTTATCTACAACAAACTAAAATGGTCTCTTAAAGTATAGTTTCGGTTATTAAATATTTTTATATGGCCTTTATTAAGGAATTATTTCACACATTTTAAAAGTAGGTAAGCATTAAGAATTTAAACAATAGTAGTCAGAGGTAAAACTAGGATGAATTTTTTTTTCAAAACACATTTTAAAATCAGATATTTTCCATTGCATAAATGTTGATAAAATATGTTACTATTTCAATATTATTATTAAATATTTCATTTTAAAAATCATATCAGTGACAGTATTTAGTTCTACTTATACTAAAAGTTTTTAATTTGAATTAGTGAAGGTGGTTTAATGTTAAAATCATCAGGCAACAATCTTTTGAAAAAATTCATTTTTTATAAATTACAACCTCCATAGGTAGGAATCTTTTACACTTTTTATTACATAATTTCTTTATAGTATACTAGTTTTTGTTACATATATTTATCTTCATCATCTAAACAATAATTTTTAATAATAATATCCATTAAGTGTAATACATTAAAAATGCTAAACATTTATACTTAGTAATCTGATAAGTGACATAGATGCTAAGAATCAAACTACATGTCTTAACGAATTTAGTAATAAAAATTAGTATATTCTTTGTTGTTACGTAGTACAATATTATGTAAGTTATGTACTATTTATATTATAATATAGTATTAAATTAAATTTGCAATTGCAATTTGCATTTTTGTTTAAAAATTAAGTAATGTTAAACAATAATTATTAGTGTTTTTATTTTTTATTAAGAAACTTTTTAGGAATTTGTTAAATTATATTATTATTACAATATTTTAAAGATCCATAAAAATGTATACATACAAAATGTATAAAATAACTTCAATAATTTTATTTTTGTAAAATTAGCCAGTTTTGTTTTTAAAACGACATAAAAAGAAATAATTTCTAAAATCCATTATTTGGTCGAGTTTTTGCTTTTTTACCAATAACTTGCATACTTTTTTGATTTAATTTGAGTTTGATTTACACAATAATGTTGAAATTTAATACACAGATTAAACTTTACAGTATAGGTATTAGGTATGAATGTATTGGGAATAATATTTGAATTCAACTTATCATGTACATTCATGTTAATTATTTAAAAAATTAAACCAAAAGTGTATGTATACTTTAATGGAATTGTCAATCATAATAAAATAAATTATTAATATAAAACCCACAACGAATAATGTCCTATCTCAATTTTTTTAATTTTTAAAAAGTCAGAAAAAAAACTAATATTTTTGGAAAAAATTGAAATACAACCTTTTTTTTATGGGGATGTCTCATGTCAATATGATAGGAAAAATGTAGTTTCTTATTTTTTAACATATAGCTGTTATAGGTCTAATGTGGTTAATTACAAAAAATAATTTATACATTACAATAGTTTGGGTACATATATATTTAGGCATTAAAGATATTTTTTATTTATTTAGTAATTATTATACTATTATATTCAAGGTTATTATTAGTTGATATTCATAGTTATTAACAATATAATATAAATATGAGATTCTGTAGTGTTTAATTGTAACTATAAAATTGTTTAAAATATGTATTTATATATTTTACTTAATAGGAAAATACACGTATCCTTATTTTATTTTATGATTTTCAATTTCGATAATGTGTCACATATACTTAAAAACAATGTGTTATATACTATAAAAAATAAAAAGTGTTTGATTAACAGTACATACTTATGGCTTAATTTCACTTATATTCAAGAATTAATATTTTTTTTAAATAGTTTATACAACTATTTAATAAATAATTTTTATGGATTATGCTGTATAGTAATATAATTTTTACGTGTGATAATTCAATTTTTTCGATAATGTCCTTAAAGGAAAGAACAATTTTGAGAAAAATAGCTTTTGGCATACATATTATTTTAGAAACATACCTAGTTAAATTTCTATACAAGTTAGAATGGTAAATTATTGTGTATTAGATAGTCTGATAGAATTTGTACCCTTCTATGTTAATCACAAAAACCTCTGGTGACCAATTCTTAAACACATTCAAACAGATTTTGTCATCAATCATCAATTTTAGCAATCATTGGTAATAATGGTTTGACCCCCTGATTATGTAATATTAAATATTTACGCATAAAAATGTTGAATTTTTTTAAATCAAATTGTTTTCTATTAATTTTGAATTTTTACTAATGTTTTTTTAGGAATATGTTGATATTTTATTGAGTTATAGCAAATTATGATAAAAAGCTAAGGTATAATTTGAGAAGTAAGACAAAGGTACTTGATCTAGTAAAAAATATAGATATCTGGTATTACTTAAATGTACTACTTTTCTTGTCCTTAGGGACCATGGTAAGATGTGTTCATTTTTTTATATAATGACAACATCCCATATTTTTTGTTTTATTAAATTAAATTAACTACTACTTAATACCAACACATTATAATGGCAAATATAAATATTATAATTCTTTTTCAGACATCTATGACTTTCTAAAATCAATAAATTCGGATATATCCATCACTAATGCAAAAATTTAAATATTTTATAGGCAAGTATAATCTTTTATGTTTTCTGAAACGCAATCCTACCACAAAAATCGAAATTATATATTATGCAGTTACATACATAATATACCTTGGGCGCTCAATATTTTATACCTACATATTAATTATTTTCTAGGTATTCACATTAGAGAGTTGCACGTTAATTAGTTAGGTTACTGGTTAAGTATGTATTAAATACCTAAATGGTTGTGTTAACTTAGCTGTTGTTTATTATTATAATTTATAAGCATTTAAAAATGGTCCATCATTGCTATGATTATTATAATTAATATATTGCTGATAAACTAGAAAATTATATTATGTTTATTTAGTTTTGGTAAATACTCAATGGTGTAGTCTTAAATAGGGAAATTTACGGGCTTGTGACCACCGAGCCTCCATAGCTCAGTGGTTAGAGCACTGGTCTTGTAAACCAGGGGTCGTGAGTTCAATTCTCACTGGGGGCAAACGTTTTTTGCATTTTTTGAACTCTATTTTTTTTGTAGTCTTTCCTTTATTTGCCTTTGAACAAATTGTACGATTATTTCAATAATAATTAATAAAGTAATTTAATACATTTTTTTTTTTTTTTAAGTAGTTTTTCCACTACAAAGTACAGAACGGTGTTTACTGATTCTAGCTTAGTTTTCATGTATCCGATTCTGATTTCTTTAGGCTATAGTACTAACAGTCTACGAGCTTACATTGTGCTGAATTAATTTGCATTGTTTTGTGTACAACGTAACTATTATTTCCTATGACCTATGTATAACGTAAAGTTCTCGTAAACCAGACCAAAGCCAATAATGATAAATTATATGTTAGTTCTGCAAACTGTAAGAAGACCAACAATAAAAGTCGGTAATTGTGTTTTCCAGAATTTCCGTAATAAAATACACTCAATATGCGCCGTTGTACTTATTAAAAGCATTTATGTGTTTTTTCTTTCTACTTAAACTCGTAAACGCATGCATTGAAGAGTGACCGATAATTCGGGGTGATATTTTATAGCTCATAAACCGCCGAATTGCACACTAAAATTATATAGCGCAGTCTTTAGAGATATAAAATATACAATATTGTAAATCCAACATTATTGTAATTTCGAAAATATATCGTCCATTGGCTTCCACGTAAAAACCGTGGTGTTATTAGTAATAATTTAAGTAAATGGCGTTTTGTTGGTCAAGCTGAAAGTTATACCGAAGAAAACCAAATACGCGTAACACGTTGTAACTCATTATTTTAATTCCAACTTGTCTTACACATGACACAAGTCGGCTAACAACGAATGCTTCAATTACAATTTCAACCTAAATTATCATTGAACGTTTTTGATTAAATACAATGATTATCAATATAGCTTCTCTATTAACTGCAAATTATTAATTTTCACGTATTGCGCTAACTGCTAATTAAAATTATGTTTTATATAATGTTTACATAGTAATTACATTAATCTAAATGATAAAATATATCATTAGACTTCTTTTTAGTAATATATTATATTACCTATTATATTACTAAAGTAAAACGATACGGAATAGGTACTCAAAAATATAAATAAAGTTTATACCTTAGGTAAGTCTTATACACTACTACAGAGTTCATACATTCTTTATTAGATTATTATTATAAAACGTAAATAATAAAGGAAAAATAGACGATTAGTCTTTTTTTGTAGGAGATAAAAACCGGTAAATTAAAAGAACGGTTTGATATATTCTAAAAAAATTCGATTTAACTGTTTTTAAACGGGTTTTGTGGCTCATTATATACAGTAGGAAATAAAAAACTGAGAAGTCGTATTTTTGATAATGAAGTTAAATTGTTCCCCTCTGTATATATTTAATATTCACTCAATTATAACTATTTTTTTCATCGAATGGATTCTAAATTAGATAATAGTCCCACTTACTCAAAATCTAAAAAAAAAAAATTGGTAAACGCTATTCTTTCCCTCTGATGCCTTTCATATGAAATCGATAGCATTTTTATTAATTTTATTCAATATATATAATAAATGACAACATTTTAATTACATCACTTACTACTTTGTTGACATTTTATAAACTGTGCCGAAATATTTGTTATCAGTATTACCAGTTTAATATTTATACTACCGATAAATATTATAATTAAAATTTTTTTTAATAAACCCTGACTATTATTTGGTGTACCTATTCATTTTACGGGTAATTCATTTTTATTTTCTATACCGTTTCAAGGTCTCTTACAGCGAATGTATTTGAAGAGCTGCGGGGAAAAAAGATCAATGTCAATTTTTTTTTTTGAAAATGAGATTTTGGTATCAAATTATTTGTATTGATGTATTGTATCTTTTATGCGCTCGAACCAGGGGAAAAAATAGATTAGTCGAGAGTAACGACCGCCGGAAGTTTAGGCATACAGGCAAAATGTATTACGTTTTGAAATTAAAAACATGATTTTTTCAGAATGTTAAAAAATTGACATTGATCTTTTTTCCCCGCAGCCTTTCATTTGTTAAAATTATGTACTAATTAGTTACGTCATAAGTCTTAAGAGTCTTATTTTCTTCGAAAAACCCGCCTTGCGCGGATTAATTTTAAAAAGGCTGTAATCGAAACTAAGAAACCAAATGTTTACATAATATAGACAACAACATTGTCTGTGTTCTACCATTGCCCTTTTTTTAATATTTAAACCAGTTAGTGAATAATTAATTAATTAAGAAAGGACTTTTTTAAAAACGATAAAGCGTTAGTTGTATTAGGTATGTCGAAAAAATACGGGTGATGAAACACAGATAATTTTGACATAAATAATATCTATGAATTTCTTTCCTTAACTAAGTATGAAGCCCGAGAAAAATTAATTCGCGCAAAGCAGTTTTGAAGGGAAAAAATTGTAATTTATCCTATAGAAATGACTGTGATAGTCTGGCAAAAAAAAAGTGGCAATCAACAAAGTATCCTCATTACTGTATTAAGAAGTATGCGTTATAGTTCAAACTCTAAATAAGGTATACACCTTAGAAATGGCCGGTGTGGCATCCTCTACAACGACTACAACGTTGGGCTTGCAAATAAAAATGTAAATTATTTTGTTTTAATTTACCAGTTTACAAGTTTTTTTTTTAGTATGCCTTTTATTGTGTTGTAGCAAATACAAACACCGATAGCTGTTTTTTTTAAATTTAACGGCATTTTTTTCAGGATACAGAGATGTACAGAAAAATAACGACTCAGGAAATAACGATGAAGGCGTTTTTTTATTTCCATTTTCTTGGCCGCTACGGTGTTGCCTACACAGAGCGCCGTCGTCGTCGTCGTCGTTGCTGTCGCCTTCCGAAACAGATAAGATGGTAATAATAATAATAATAATAATAATAATGATATAGTATGTTCCTATGATGGATTCAATACAGCCGCCGCCGTCGCCGAATTGTGTTGGCAAACAAAATATAAAGACAACGGGCCGACCCTTTGACAAGGGGTAAATAGGAAAAACACAGAATATAATTCAATTACACAGTGTAGATATATGATGGGCACGATAAAAACAAGGGCAAAAACAACAGAGAGCGAGAAGGAGAAGGCAAAAAATAATAATAACAGAATATACCAAGAGAGTGGGACTTATATAAAAATATTTTCTCAATTCGGCCTAATGGCTCGGACGGCTCCTCCAAGGCAACAAAACAACAATAGCTGATAAAAAATATATCGCCCACCCTCCGCCCGCGAGCGGCGCACACAGTTGTTATTGGGGAATCATCCCCTCAAAAAAAAAATCGCCCCTCTATTTTCGGACACGATTTTTTTTTATACATATACATATATATATATATATATATATATATATATATATATATATGTACACAAGAATTAGAATGGATGCGATCCCTCTCGTTCAGCAGCTCTGGCCACCAGTCGACGGGGTCGTCGGTCGGTCGGTTTTTTATTATTTTTTTTTTTTTATCAATAGCCGAAACTCACCCTTCGGCGCATATTATACTGAAGAGCGAATACAGAGCGGCGGTCACAGAGGTTAAGTAAGCCGTACTCCATACGCGCCGTTCCCCCAAAGCCCGTGCACATATACTACAACCCGTCGGTTAGGTTCCTTAGCTTTCGATTATTCCGCAAAATTATCCAGTCGAGTCCGGGAACTTTCCCCTTTCTACGCGCGCCCGAGTATTTTTTTATTATTATATACGGTTTTTGGGTCGCAAACGCCGTATTATAAACGGCGTGTATGATAATCTGTCAAAAGCCGAGACGTTCAAAACGGTCGACAACATTCGGGATTGGCGTTTTTTCTCTCTCCGTTCGTGATAAATGATCTCCTCGGAGGAGAAAAAAACGGAAATATGCGTTAAGAGACAGTAAACAAACCACACTCTACTTTTATTTACGTTATGTGTACAGGTTTTCTCTCGCCAGCTTTTTTTATTTTTATAAACTGTCCCGCCTTTACTTTACCTTGTGACGTTTTCTTTCACATAAACGCACACGCGTGCGAGGTTAATACATAAATGTACGTTTATAAATAAAACTTGAGTTCTTGAACTGGAGACGTGGGCAGTGGATAAGGAGCTTCTCTCCGTTATTTATTTACTTGCTTATTAAGCTCGTCCCGATTTTTGTTTTTTTTTTTCCTTCAATTGTATTATACTCCAAACGCAGATTAAAATTGGTATAAAGCGTACAATTACTTATTTTACTGAACTAATTGTATTGGCCTTGGTTCGTTCTTAAAGTACTTCAAAAATCTAGATTATCTAAAGATAATAATTATTAATTCCTAAAAATACTAAATAAGTCACGAATAAAGCTGAATAAATCATTAAACAAATGGGTTAAGTAGTTATAATATTACCAATTAAATTGTTATTGTGTTATTACTTATATCATTATTATAAAAAAAGAGACCTCTCTTAATGGAAATAAATTATTTTGTAAAAGAAAAAACCTATAATATTATTTTTCCCTTATTTTTTATTCTATTATACCATTGATAAAAACAATTATTTAGGACCCACCATCCTTTAAAAAATCCTGTCTATATCAATCTATGTAAATTCACAAGACTTGTAAAACTATTATTTAGAATAAAACTCGCTCTACATTTGCACGTTATGTGGGTTTATTTGAAATGTAAATCATACTTTTTGGAAAAAACATGTATATAGGGCTTATAACATTATCGTCCGTCCGCTAGTTGCGTTAGGGGAGAACCTGAATAATGTATACGATTTATTTTAAAATATGTTGAGTTAAACATGGAAATCATTTGACTGGAAAAGAAATATTTAAATCCCTTATGGTTCTACTGTCAATACATATAGGCGTCAAATAAAATATAGTCTCCCTTCTTTTTATACGTTTTACCCAATATAGTTATAAAACAGAATTCTCAACTGGTCTCAATACTAAAAGAAAAAACGGTATAATTAAACAGAATTGTTATAAAAATTTAATATATTGTAAATTTAAAAGTTCATTGTTTGTGTATAAAATAACACTAAGAAGGGTGGGGGGGGGGGTCGAGTGTCAGAATTCATTCCATAAAACAACGTTTTTTTTATATTATAGGACACGTTCTATGTTGGTTCATAGATTCATCCACCATTTCTATAGTAAAAACAATTAACACACCATTCACACCGCTAAAACTAAAAACGATCAGTATTATGTAAAACCGCTTTTATCTAATATATTTTTACATACCATGTTTACAGAATTGGAAATTAATTTAATACAATGTTATCTAAATAACATTTACATTTATTCGAAACTACGCTATTTAAATTTCATTAAGTTAATTAAATTCCATTCCAATTGTTATTTGAATAAACATTTGCAAAAATTAAAATTTTAAAATTTGCGTTCATCTAGTATCAATGTTAATTATACAGATTATATATACCGCAAGGACAAATGATTACAAAGGAAATTAGTTTTGTGCTATATTGCTCAGAATATTTTGGACTTTTGAATGCATTTTATTCCAATTATTTTTGTTTAGCAATAACATTACAATTATTCGCAACACAGCAAAGGCATTGGAAAATAATATGTAAATAAAGAACGTACAATTAAAAAATTAAAAAAAAAAAAAGGTTTTTGTAAATATGTCGTAGTATTTCGTTAAAAAAAAATCACAACAAGATGTAGGAATGCAGATTTATTTTTTGCGGAATTAAAGCTTATTGAGAAAATAGTTAAGTGTGTATTGTTTAAGACAGTCATAATAATATGATGCATTCGTGATTCATCGTTATTTTTATTAATTATATTTCGATTAAAATACAATATGTAATGTAATATGTATGTATGTAATTTTCTTTCTAATTCTCTTATAATTTGTAGTTTTCGCCCTATGTCTTCTACGTCATCGATTTAATCCCTCGCTATGCGTTGAACGGGATTCAATTAGTGGTTGTTCTCAGAGATAAACCCTACAAACGCGCTCACACACTGCACACATATGAGCACATTTCTTTTCCGCCATTGTAGGGGCAATATAGGAAAATAATTCGGGTTATTTTCCACGGATTTCTCGTGTGTTGTTCGCCATCGCCCCCAGAACACAAGCATGAATTCTACAAAGAATTTAATTTCGACTTTCCTCGTTTTGCCCGCTCGAGAATTAGTATTTCCCGTTGTTTCCTTTTTCATCTCGTTTATTTTGTTTCCTTTACACCATCGAGTGGGACGTGTGTGTGTGTGTGTAAGTTCTATCTGTCGTCAATCGGTGGGCTAACAAGCGTCATCAGCGTTCATTTATTTAATTCAATTTTTTTTCTACTTGTTACTTAAAGTTTAGATCTAAAAGAGATACTCCAAATAATGACATTAAGACGTTCTTCGGGTTTTCTACGAATTTTAATGCAAAACGAGACGTTTAGAAGCCAAGACACAAACGTTTTTATATTGTGTATCGCAGTGTAAACAAATACCACTTGGCACCTCAATAATAGATATCAGTCAACGTACTGCAGAAGAGCTATTACTTTTTAAAGTGCAATCAAACCGTGCTCGGAAACAGCGTATGGACTACTTTCTTATAAACATTAATACTGTCCTATTATAGTTTTACCCAATTTCTAAGAACCTACAAGAGCGGTAAATTGCAGTTTGCTGACTTTATAATATACAGGATATTTTTCCATAACACCCTGTAGATAGATTCGGTTAAAATCTTTGGGGTTGTGTCGGATTGTTTTTGAACTTTCACAGCCCGTTACTGGTTGCGCCAATGTGCCGAATACAACGGCGGGAACCTTGGCCACACTTTACTCGTAGTTCTATGGTATGATTTGCGAATAAACCCGACTGTGTGCACTGCATAATATTACAACATGTCTGCTATATACGTGTGTGTGTGTGTGGGATATACGTATAAGAGTGGCGGGTATTGATCGCGGGACCGACCGTTGGTGTGTGGCGGCGGTGTCCGGGAGAATGACGGCTGTCAACGGGGAGAGAGAATATGCGAAGCAAAAAAAGAGAAAGAGAGATTGTGGAGAAAGAGAGAAGAAATTCCGGAACGGGAAAGCCTGCCGGACGAGGGGCGCGAGGAGCACAAAGAATGCGTGTCTATGTGTGTACACGAGAGAGAGAGAGAGGGACGGGGAAAGATAGACAGTAAGTAGTGCAGGGTTAAGGGAATGACACGACCGACTTGGTGGACCTTTTTTTTTTTGCGAGCTTAGGGTTAGGGGGCACGTTGGGCGGTGGTATAGAGCGTGAATAAACATAATTGCTGACGGGCGCAGGCGCATTGCACTCGGGGCGAGCGCGACTCGGCGGTGGCCAAAAACAGCCTCGGCTCATTCTTGTAACAACGTGCAATTTCACCCTTATAACGTGGTACATAAAAATTATAATAACAATAAACGTTTTCGGCCGAAAAACGTCGCACTATCGGTGCAATAACGGTGTCAGACTCCAAAGTATCGGCCGAGTGGCCTTTTTGATAGCAACCGTTAAGAACAAATATTGTAACTTAGACTCTAACGGTTAGAGTCTTACCTATTAAATAGACATGACGCAATCGGTATCAGATACAAGACTATGGTGGCTAACGCCGACTAATTGTAAACAGTTTCGGGCTAACTGAGATGGCCAAAGCTCGTTTGTTCTCTACAAATTTTACAGCACAGAAGTTATTGCATAAAAAACGCACAATCTTATTACCGGTATAGTACATAGAAATACATTCAGCGTTTAAACATAATGTAATCTGTTATTTTTTTTACGGATTTTGCATAAAACGGGGTGAAGAAAGGAGGTGACCGAAATCGGTTGACGTCTTTCTTCGAACCAAATAACTACGGTTATCACACACAAATAACTT